ATTGGCTCAGCCAATCACATGGCTAAACTTACATTCAAATCAAATTTACCAAAAAAAAGGATACAGTGAAACGTTGTTGTTAAATGCAATTAATATTAATATGTATTAGCATGAAATGCTTAGTTACATAAAAAGAAAATCTTTTTTGATATTTTTTTTTCATCTAGCAACATTTAATCTCCTGACATCCTTGGATGAAAATTCTTATTAACATTTCTATATTTAGTATTTATTATCATTATAATTTTCCATCGAGTGGAACCACTTATACATGTATTACAGCAAACCAGCTTTGTAAACAGATAAATTACATAATTTGATGAAAGGTAATGAAACGCATCATCAAATATTGGGTTTCGATATTGATCACGGTGTCAACCGACAAGTAATTTCATTATTGATAGGTGGAGGAATCTTTACCATTTCATCAATCTTTAAACCACAATTAATTTTGGAATCAAGTGTAATTTGCAAATTTCTAATTCAATCCAATAATAAAGTTATTTTAAAAGGTTTCAAGAAAATGAAGTTTCGAGTTCTCTAAAGAATTTTAAATTTACACCACGAACACTTCCAAAAGCACTTTGAACTTTAATTCTATTAATATTAATTTTCAGGGATTGTGTGTGTTTCAGTTTGGAATTACCCAATAATAATAATAATATAGAAATTTTTTTTGTGTTTGATGTACTAAATATTAAAAAAAAAAAAAATCCTATCGATTCAATATACAACAAAAGGTTAAAATAATATATTTTCGAAAATGCCATCATTTAACAACAACAATAACAACAAATAACAATAATAACAATAATAAAATTAATGACAACAACAGCCACAATTGGCGTCATTATTTGAAGGTGAAGAGCGTAAACAAAATGTGCGTTTTGGAATTTTCTAATAATAATAAATCAACTCCTGACCAACGTTTAATAGGGCTAGTCAAGAAGTGGGAAACAGTGAAAGATTGACAATTTTACGCAAATAAATTCAAGAAAAACAACAACAACGACAGCAACAACAGTGAAAACAACAAATTCGCTATTATTTTGATCGCGGTGTTAACCGACAAGTAATTTATTAATTTATTCTAAAAGTAAATTAATCCTCATCATTATTGATAGACGGAGGAACACTTATCATTTCTTCAATCTTTAAATCATAATTAATCTTTGGAATCAAGTGTAAAGTTTCTACAATTTGCAAATTTCTAATTCAATCCAATAATAAAGTTATTTTAAAAGGTTTCAAGAAAATGTTTTAAAAAAAAAAAAAA